AACGCTACTTGTATAGATGTTGACAGAGGAGTTAAAGGAGGATGTGACGAACGCTACTTGTATAGATGTTGACAGAGGAGTTAAAGGAGGATGTGACGACTGGTACTTGTATAGATGTTGACAGAGGAGATAAAGGAGGGTGTGAGGACTGATACTTGTATAGATGTTGACAGAGGAATAAAATGAGGATGTGACGAACGCTACTTGTATAGATGTTGACAGAGGAATAAAAGGAGGATGTGACAAACGCTACTTGTATAGATGTTGACAGAGGAATAAAAGGGGGATGTTACGAACGCTACTTGTATAGATGTTGACAGAGGAATAAAAGGAGGATGTGACAAACGCTACTTGTATAGATGTTGACAGAGGAGTTAAAGGAGGATGTGACGAACGCTACTTGTATAGACGTTGACAGAGGAGTTTAGGGAGTGTTTCAAGAATGATTCCTGTACAGCTGCGGACAGAGGAGGTAAATGAAAAAGGAAATTATATTAATGGTTCAGAGAAGAACAAGAAAAGAAGAAGAAAAAAATACTGATTTGCATCATGACATCGAACATTGACTGATGAGCAATAGGATAAAGAGAAGGATGATACTAGATAAGTTAGAAGGTTGCTGATTAGTTGTACAAAAGTGGGCACTGGAGCAGGTGAAGGGACCGTAAGAATGATATTTACCAGTACAGACGTTGCATGTGTGTCTACAACTGTCTGTGGCCCATGACGGAAAAGCCTCGCAAGCCTTAGGGATATCGAACGAACCACACGTACTCAACGTGTCCACACAAAGGGGCGGAGTTGTCGTCGGCCCTCCTGTACAAAGGTCAGAGGTCAGTAAACAGCTAAACGAATCGACTCGTTTCATTTTAATGAGAATCGTTCATGTTTTGATGACAAAAGTTAAGACGAATGGAATTATCAATTTTGGTACGAAATAATCATATACAGAATAGTTTAGTTTATGAAACGTTGAACAGTTTTGGTTACCGTGGGGTTACTGCAATCATACCTGAATAGGTTGCACCCCTGACCGGTAGGGGTTCACGGGGCGTCCAGTAATATACGGGTAACTCAGACATTTGACAGAAATCACATGACTTACACCCGGCAGAAACCATGCAACTTACCTTGACAGACATTGCAAGTACGTCGACATTTTTCGGAGGCCCACTTGGGGAAGTCACTGCAGGCCTTGGGTATATCGAAAGTATCGCAGTAATCTAACTCATCCATACAGATCGGTGGTAGAGTGGTAGGTCCACCTAAGGTACGGCAGGAGAAGTAAAAGTGGAAAAGTACACAAAACCTAATTATATAGACCGACAGATCGGTGGTAGAGTGGTAGGTCCACATGACGTACCACAAAAGGAGTACAAGGAAAACAAAAACACAAAACCAGCATATATAGACCGACACATCGGTGGTAGAGTGGTAGGTCCACATGACATACCACAAATGAGTACAAGAAAAAAACCCACAAAACCTACGTATATAGACCAACAGATCGGTGGTAGAGTGGTAGGTCCACATCACGTACCACAAAAGGAGTACAAGGAAAACAAAAACACAAAACCAGCGTGGTAGGTCCACATGACATACCACAAAAGGAGTACAAGAATAAAAAACACAAAACCTACGTATATAGACCAACAGATCAGAGGTAGAGTGGTAGGTCCACATGACGTACCACAAAAGGAGTACAAGGAAAACAAAAACACAAAACCAGCGGATATAGACCGACAGATCGGTGGTAGAGTGGTAGGGCCACATGACGTACCACAAAAGGAGTACAAGTAAAACAAAAACACAAAACCAACGTATAGAGACCGATAGATCGGTGGTAGAGTGGTAGGTCCACATGACGTACCACAAAAGGAGTACAAGGAAAACAAATACACAAAACCTACGTATAGCAAAAGACATCGGAGGTAGAGTGGTAGGTCCAACTGAAGTACCACAAAAGTAAATGTACACGTTTGGGGTTTAGATTAATTTTCGGTAAAGAAACACCCCCCCAATGATGATTTATATGAGAAGGGCGGAAAGCTCTCCATGCCGAAATATCGATCCCACCTAACTTTCCTGCATCAAAAATCACATTTCTATTTTTTGTATAAAAAAATGCTTGGTACCGTTGGAAAGGTGGATATTTTTTTCTTTCACAAACCTCCTATATGCACGTAAAATGTATTCTCCTTCCGCGGACAGGATCTCCATCTCCTCCAAAAACACACGCCATTTCCAAGTTTCCTAGTTTTTCACAGTCATCGTGCCACTTTTTTTTACATATTCATGAGGTTGACGTCAGCCACGTGCTGAAACATTGGCTGGCTGGGTGGCTGAGGCCTGAGAATGATTGTTGCACTTTTCGGAACATTTCGGTTTTAACTCTCGACGCTATATACACACAAGAGGATTCACAAAACGTCAACTTCATGTATATGTAAAAAAGTTGTACGATTACTGCGAAACACTTTGGAACTTGGAAATGGCGTGTGTTTTTGGAGGAAATAGAGATATTGATAATGATAATATTCAACAATTCTAGCACTGCCCAACAACGTACTCATTTACAGCTGAGTAGACTGGAACAAGCGGAGTAAAGTATTTTGCTCAAAGATACAACACAGTGCCGTGGCGTGACTCAAACCCGCAACCCTACGGTCACGAGCCCGTCGTCCTACCACTAGACTACCGTGCCTCCTAAAATTATGATCATGTCCGCAAAAGGAGAATGAAGGCGAATTTATCATCACTGCAGTTATTAGTTAACAGCATTATAAATATAGTAGTTAAACTTGAAGGGCGAAATTAAAATTGGTTTTATGGGTGAAGGGCGAAAGTTTGACGGTATAAAGTACTTATGACCTTTACTGTTTACAGTTTTGACCTTGACTGACCTTGACAGACACCACAACTGGCCTGGCAATGCATGCTGGTCCAGCCAAAGAACGGAGAGTCTGAGCTACAGATGGTGTCATCATGGTCGATGTAGCTCTGACAGTTGGTCACATTGTCATAGCACAGTGGGTTCCTACCTGTATGTGACGACACGGTAGACAGTATAGATTCATATATATCTTACGTCATACGTGTGTTCTCCCAAATGGTGTATATGTATTTCAAGACATCGTCATAACAAAATATCTGAATATATTAGCAAGATATGCTGTCTTACAACACATATACAACATCAGATGGGCTTCACATGCTTAATCAGATATATTCTTTATAAGTATAGAGAAAGATACCTTAAGATATATTTCATATACTGTATCAGACATATCGGAAACTGAACTAAGATGTAGATGATATTAAATTGTTTATGGGTGAATACAACATATAGTTCACGAGACAGAATATCGATATGTTTCACGAGTATCACAGAATATTGATATGTTTCACGAGTATGAAAAATATCGATATGTTTCACGAGTATGACATAATATTGATATGTTTCACGAGTATGACATAATATCGATATGTTTCATGAGTATGACAGAATATCGAGATGTTTCACGAGTATGACAGAATATTGATATGTTTCACGAGTATGAAAATTATCGATATGTTTCACGAGTATGACATAATATTGATATGTTTCACGAGTATGACATAATATCGACATGTTTCACGAGTATGACAGAATATTAATATGTTTCACGAGTATGACAGAATATTGATATGTTTCACGAGTATGAAAAATATCAATAGGTTTCATGAGTATGACAGAATATCGATATGTTTCACGAGATGTTTCACGAGTATGACAGAATATTGATATGTTTCACGAGTATGAAAATTATCGATATGTTTCACGAGTATGACATAATATTGATATGTTTCACGAGTATCACAGAATATTGATATGTTTCACGAGTATCACAGAATATTGATATGTTTCACGAGTATGAAAATTATCGATATGTTTCACGAGTATGAAAAATATCGATATTGTTCACGAGTAGGGCAGAATATCGAGATGTTTCACGAGTATGACAGAATATCGATATATTTCACGAGTATGAAAAATATCGATATTGTTCACGAGTAGGGCAGAATATCGAGATGTTTCACGAGTATCACAGAATATCGATATATTTCACGAGTATGACATAATATCGATATGTTTCACGAGTATGAAAATTATCGATATGTTTCACGAGTATGAAAAATATCAATAGGTTTCATGAGTATGACAGAATATCGATATATTTCACGAGTATGAAAAATATCGATATGTTTCACGAGTATCACAGAATATTGATATGTTTCACGAGTATGACATAATATTGATATGTTTCACGAGTATGACATAATATTGATATGTTTCACGAGTATGAAAATTATCGATATGTTTCACGAGTATGACATAATATTGATATGTTTCACGAGTATGACATAATATCGATATGTTTCACGAGTATGACGGAATATCGATATGTTTCACGAGTATGACATAATATTGATATGTTTCACGAGTATGACATAATATCGATATGTTTCACGAGTATGAAAATTATCGATATGTTTCACGAGTATGACATAATATTGATATGTTTCACGAGTATGAAAAATATCGATATTGTTCACGAGTAGGGCAGAATATCGAGATGTTTCACGAGTATCACAGAATATCGATATGTTTCACGAGTATCACAGAATATCGATATGTTTCACGAGTATGAAAAATATCAATATGTTTCATGAGTATGACAGAATATCGATATGTTTCACGAGTATGACAGAATATCAATATGTTTCACGAGTGCGAAGTACGAGTGATAATACCTGTAGATTCCGCCATACGAGGGAAATAAATATTGTTTTACACGGGAAAAGTTTTTCTATGCATTACATTTTTTAAAGAGATACATCACAATTTTTGTTAACACTAAGAAATATCAACCATCTCTGCTGGTGTTTTTTTCTGACAGAAATGAAGTAAAGGGATAAGACATAAGATATCACAACATTACCAATGCCCTGTTCACTATACTTTTACATAAACTGAGATCTGAGATATTGCGTAATATTAACGACAATGGACGCCATATAATTGTATCATCAATAAGAAATTCTTGAAAGGAAGTAACAATACAACGATACATACAAGATAAACAAGCATTATTGTCTATCAACTATAGGATGATACCTCTGACTAGTGTAACAGGAGAAAGAGGAATGCAACGGCCAGACCAGGGTTCGAACCCGGGACTCTCCGAACTCAAGACGGACGAGCTACCTGGTCGCCTGTAATCGACCAAGTCTAGTTTCGCTGTACTGTTCGTCACGTATAGACATTCAAACAACACCTAATCGTAATTCAGGGTTGTAAAAATATTTTGTCAAAAAAAGATGACAAGTAAAATTTAATCCTGAAAAAACAGACATTCTTTTTACCCTAAAATGAGATATCACTGAACCAAGTAAGATTGGACGGGCAATATTTAGAATTTACACACAAACACCTCGGATTTATTCTAAACTCGGATGATGCAAAATGATGTGATCACAAATGAGATTCACAAATCAGTTTCAAAGGAAATAAAAGTATTACGAATATTCAAATGTATACCAGAGATAATCATCATGCCATACCCACATACTAAAAATCCTTCTGATGCATTTCTTGTATTATGTGCAGAAAATATGGAACTGTAACAAGAGGAAACTACATCTGTTTTATATGACGCAGTGAAGTTGAACTATTTTGGAATGTGAGAAGCAGAAAGGAAGGAATATATACACTTTGCTAATACTTAATAAAACAAGTTATTGCCTCCCTTTCCCTCATAATCGATTCATCTTAAGACACTAAAACCAAATGTAGTTCTGAGGGCTTGTTAATTAGTTACCTATTACGCTAATGGTGTAAACTTTAACCTATATATCCTAGTTGAGACAAATATTTTAATTGAGTATTGGCAGCAATACATCGTTGACCTAGCGGTTGCTACTAAAACTCAAATAGAAAAAAAATAGAACTCATATCAGTCACGTTTACAATATCAGTAGGAAATGTGTCACCGAGATAAGTTAGTGCTTTGGGGTCCTTTATCAATAAAACAAGGCCAGTTTTCATTTTCTCGTCTCTCTCATAATGTAGTCTTGCTAGTTTATTGGGAGACAGAACCCAAAAGACTACCCTTACAGTATTCAGTGAACTGGTTTAAGGATTGGCGATTTGTTGACACATTGCCACTTAAGACTTCACGAACATATTCTAAAAGTTCCATCTTCTAAATATAAGCTCAAATATTTGTATTATTTGTAAAACCTACAAATAGTGTTAAATACTGTCTTGAACTAGTTTACATAGTAATGATTAGCGACATCTACTGGAGGCTTGAGAGTAATAGTGAGTTGTAGGACTTCGTAAACTCACACTCTTACTGAGAGTTACTGGACCTAAATAGTCTGAAAACCATCACAATTGTCACAAATACCGCCAAGTGACAATTGGATGGAATGGTAAAAAACAAAGATGGCTGACAAAAATCAATTCTATGTTTAACGATGAAAAATTCATCTTAATAATATAAAAATCAGCTGCAGTAGTTCTACAAGAAGAAATACCTACCTGGGATGTTTGATACTTGTCGTTCGAGTTTCTCGGCTTCATAATATCTACCCTGTGCAAAGGATCAAGATAAGGGGAAACATTTCAACAAAAGTAGAAAAAAACATTGACGGCTTTCTCTCTGCATAATATATAATAATAAAACAACAAAAAGTCCTTGTGTGACCCCCCAAAACACAAATACAATGGTAGTAATATTTTCTCTAAGACTTTCACCTGTTCAAATAGAGCAATAGTAAGAGCGCAGAACTAAATTCGCTGAAAAAGCAGTGAAATAACTTGTTTAAATGATGCTAAATTCGAATTTGTTTCACAATTGCTAATGCTTCAAAAGAAGCTATGCCGCCTGTCACCTGGATAAGAACATCTTCCTAAAACCTAGCCCAAACGTTACTATTTTTGAAGTCGAGTGCATATTTTTCCAAAACGTTGTTTTTTATTGGATTTCGTTGGTATCGGGTGAATATTTCGTGAACTTTATAGAAACTTGGTAATCAAATGATAAATTATATGGGTTGTTTAAATGTTTTTTTTCAAACCTACAGATATGGATATTAACACTCACCCAGACAAGTGTCGCGTATATAAACAGGAGTGAGAGCACCTGCAACGTATATGCTGCCATCTTGTTCTTCAGCTGATATGGAAAGGACAGTCAGATTGTCAACTTTAAAATTTCATGTATAAAAAAAACAAATTTATGATTGCCGGCAAATGAGGTCAGAGATAAGAGTGGAGTTGTTCAAGGCCCTGTCTACGAAAGATAAGCCATAACTATGTCGTCAAAAACACGGAATTGTTTTGCACTTATTAGTACATCTAAACGAGGCTAATTTTCAGACGCGACTTCAAATAATCCAACGTGAACATTATTAAATTGTTTACAGAAAAAATCAAAGAATCATTGTGTCCCAGCTTTCTATGGCAAGCCGTTTGGGTTTTCGCCCATTTAATCTAAATATCTGCATTTATTGACAGAATACAGATATCTGTATTTGAAATACAAATATCTGTAATTGAAATAAAGAATAAATTGCAGATATCTGTATTTATTGTATAATTATAAATACATTGTATCTGTATTTGAAACATAGATATATGTATTCCAAATACAGATATCTCTATTTATTTGAAAATATACATGTAGATATCTGTATTTTAAATGCATATATATATTCTAAATACATATATTTTTTTATGTAAAAATACATATATCTCTTTTTATTCATCAACTGTAAAATGACTGCTCCCGTAGTGTACTTTTACGCATGACAGGAAACAGGAAAGTGAAAATGTTCACGAGGCCAGAAAATGGCGGCAAGTAATCCTAGGCCTAGTCATAGCAACGCGGACCGTGTGATGTCAAGTGCTGCTGACACGGCGATCAAAAATACAGATATCTGTATTTAAATTTTTAATATGTATCTTCATATTAAATAGAGTTATCTATATTCCAATTACAGATATCTTTATTTATTTGTAAATGGAGATATCTGTATTTAAAAATGCAGATATCTCTATTTGAATTGTAGATATCTGTATATCTATATTTTTTTTCCAAAATGACACATATCTGTAATCAAATTACAGATATCTGTATTATGTCATAATTTGAGATATCTGCTTTTAGAATACAGATATATATATTTAAAATGCAGATATCTGTAATTCAAACGAAGATATCTGTATTTTAAATTCAGATATATCCAATTATAGAATAAATACCTTCGATAAAAATGCAGATGTATGTATTAAATGGGTAAAAAAAACCAATCAGTTTGCCATGGCCTCCTAGATGTGGCAAGGTTCAAAATACCATTCTTAGTGCTACGGATCAGTTACCTTCAGAAAGTGCCTGTCCGGTCCTAAGATCTAACGCAGACGGTTAACTTTAAAGGGTAGACCGGTCAGTGACGTCACAAAGGTGGTCTTGTAGAAGACAGCTACATGCAGTGTCTGTTCAGCTGGTGTTCCTCCTCCTATATACTAGGAGTTCCGGATCCATTGTTAAAAGCGTTGTTAGCTTTATGGTTCATTATGTTAAATTTTCAAATAGAAATTTTATCCAAACCAACTGCATAAATAACAACGATAACCGCGCTTTAATCGACGTTTTTAACTAAATGCATCACAGCACATTGCGTTTTCAGTCGTGCATTAGAATTTGAACAGTTTTTAAGTTCAACTTTAATGTTTCATTGGGTAAAGCTGGTAAAGTTCGATAAAATGTTATCCAGATAAAACGTCGCGTATGACGTCAGAAGTCAACACGAAGGCCAGTGAGAAAGTACGCCGACCGATAAATATCTGTTCACTGAATTGTACAAAAAATATCAAAGTACCGGGCAACCTAATTCAAATTAAGTAAGTTTAGGCCAACTTCAGATAAGTCGAGAGAGTTCTATGTGTAAATGTTTCTCCGAAATAGCTGCTTTAAGACCAATTGCATGCTATATAACTTTGCCAGAATCCCTCGACCCCATCCAACACCCCTAGCCCGCCCCATGACCAAACAGCCCAAAAAGATATTAAAACATTTCTTTGTGTGTTTTAAAGCAGAATCAGGTAGGGGAATTTAGTCAATATCCATCCGTCTGCACACACTTTCATTTGCCATCGTTTCAGGCATTGTTGTGTTTTAAGAGGTACGATTGTTAAAACTCATTTCATTGATTTCTATGACCGCAAATCACCAATGAGACTCTGAACTGTTGGAGTTACTCTGTACCCTATGATGTCTCGAACTATTGAAGAATTCTGTAATGTTGTGATATCTCAGAACTATTGACGTTACTTCTGTAGTGTTGTGATATCTCAGAACTATTGACGTAAGTCTGTAATGTTGTGATATCTCAGAACTATTGCCGTACTTCTGTAATGTTGTGATATCTCAGAACTATTGACGTTACTTCTGTAGTGTTGTGATATCTCAGAACTATTGACGTTACTTCTGTAGTGTTGTGATATCTCAGAACTATTGACGTTACTTCTGTAGTGTTGTGATATCTCAGAACTATTGACGTTACTTCTGTAGTGTTGTGATATCTCAGAACTATTGACGTACTTCTGTAATATTGTGATGAGTCAGACTTATTTTAATATACTTTTGTAATGGTGTGATATCCCTTACCTATTGACGTAGCTTTGTAACTTGAGCGGTGATATATATGGCCTATCAGAACTGTTGACGTAAATATATGTACCACGGTGATATCTCAGAACTTATTAAACTTATTAAAAGTATTTTTTTTATAATTATGACCGGTAACATGTTATGTTCCGTCAAGACAATTTTTTGCATGTTCTGCCAACGGTGATAGTTGTACAAGCCTAACGAAAGGATGACGACAGTTAAGTTGAAGATTTAGTTTTTATTAGTTCCGACATTGTCCACTTTTTCTACTACCGCCGGGGTGTTGTTAAAAACATAACTTGCTTGACATGTTTATATGATGTTGTGTGTTCTTGTAAAATAAAGTTGGACCGGCCGGCTTTAACTTAAAAGAAATCTATTTTCGAAAGTGTAATAGTAATGTAAAATGTAATGTTCAAGTGTATGGCTTCAAATAAGGCAAGGTCCTTCACCAAGATAATAAAGAAAAACTATTTTAACACTGAGAAATTAGAAAATAAGGAAGCCTAGGCCTATACATGGTCTGTCCCTCAACTAAGTTATGCTTCTTCAGAAACTTCACCTAGTATCTAATCATAAGCTTAACGTGTGGTTAACAGTAACGTAAGGTGACAGTACCCAAATCGGATCACCAAACCATCATTTAATTAAATCATTGAAATTATCTGAGGAGGAATTATATTCATTTATGATTGTATCAAAAATAGAATATCGATGGGTGTTCTAGTACCCGGGGCTCACTTGAGATATTTATAGAACGCTCTGAAGTCACCAATCAGCGTCTCTCTTGTTTTTGCGAATGTCGGGACCCAAATCGGATCACGGCTTGAATTTTGCAGTATCGTACACTTAATCTTCAAATGAATATTTTTTTTGTCAGCATATAAACATTTTATGATGACCTTTAGAATTTATATGACAAAAAGTATTTCTATAGTGTGAATTTATTCCTATAGTCCAAAACAGAGTACATAGTCGTCGCACGCGCCATTTTTTAAAAACGTAATCAAAACATTGACATTTGAGTTTGAATTACGTTTTCTTGCGCTATTTGAACTTAAAAACTAATTATCTGTTGTCAAAAAAATGGTGCATGGCTATCTATTCTAAGACTACATCATTGTTATAACTGATTTGTTAACACATTTATTTATTTATAAGCATTTTTGCAAAAAGTGATCCGATTTGGGTACCGATCCGATTTGGGTACTGCCACCTTCGTTAAACGTTAACGTTATATCTTAAAATTTTAAGATGATAATGCAAAGTTCCCAGGAAACATGTAGTTGGTTTCCATATAGTTACTATGAGACAAAATGAGAACAATCTCGTCTTGTTCTGGTGTTTCCCCTTCCTTTCTAACAAGGAGCTGTACATGAAGGATAATACTACCAAAGTTCTTAAAATTCCGTTCCTAACGGTAAAATATCAGACTTCTACGTGTCCAATGTCACCTATCGAACGCACCGCTATTTAAGAAGTCTCCTTAAAAAGAGACAAAAAAACACCGAAAATTATTTACCGCCAAGTGAGTTTCTAAAAAAAATAATGATTCGATCTTGCAGAAAGTTCGGAGGCTATTACTAAGTAAGTGTTATGTCTTCCTAGAGAAACAGAGTAATAACTTTCACTAACGACAACTTGGCATGAGTTGGAAACATTAAATATTTTCGGTGCTTAATGGTTCGTCCCCTCAGGCCCTACGTGCGTTTGTCGCTAATCACAAGATCTGAATGATAGGGTATTTGCATATTTATTTCCTACAAATGGTATATTAGTCACATTTTTTTATTATTATTATTATTTAAGTATCAAAGAACAGCATTGACTTTCCTCAAAGCTATTTCATACTTCTCTGGGTGTCTATTTTATTTTATTTCAAATACAAACCTGCCTCTGTGACATTTGATGCAGAATACAAATTACCATACTTTCTTTCCCCAAAACGCTACCATGAAATAAGCAATATCTGTATCATTTTAAGACCCAGTGTTAAGAGGTCAGACAAAAACTGCTCTGATGTCAGGAGTCAAAACACAATTAATGGTTGAATATTCCATAGATCACATAATTATACTGTACAGTTTTGATGCAAAAGTATTCCACTGGGATAAGTAGGTCAGGTCACAAACCTGGGTGTGGTGCAGCATATTATAAACATTCCTAATAGTGCAAATAGTTTCCTCAATTTTCTACAACATATTATGTAAACAATTTCCTGCACCAACATCATGAATACACAAGTACAGTCCGTGATCCTTATCTCAAAAAAAATGTTAAAATTGACGTAGTTAAAGATAAAGCTGCCAGACATGACCAGCATATGGGTATTTGATCACCGACAGTGTCAAAGCCTTACAAATCGAGGTTGCGACTCTCTATGATACAAAATAGCAATGAACTAATAGCTGTTAGTTCAAACAAAACCTCATCACACTCGCATTCTGTACTTTTTCAAACAATTCTATTAGAAAAGAAAGTTTATTTCAGAGAACCAGATCTCAATTGAAAGACCTCGATCCCTACCAAGTGCTACCTCCAGTGCTACTCCCCACTCCTGAATAAGCTTGACACTGTGTCTAAATACTTTCCACAGCTTTGTGAACTCATTTTCAAATTTACATTATCTTCTTGTTGAAATAGAGACATACAGGTAAGTGTACCATAAGGTAGCAAAAGTAATGCATGCACCAGCTAAATATTACAAACTCAAGTAACCATTTCTCAACCATAGGCCTATTGTCCTACTCATTAGATGTGAACTTAATGCTTATTATCAATTATGATGACTATATCTTTTTGAATTCAGAAAATGGTAGTGAGTCAAAGAAGGACATTCTCCATGCATCATTTGTTAAACCAATCGGTACTATAGAGCACCAGACCACCACAGAGGAAGGCATGGGACAAGATGGAGAGTGAGATTACAGTTATTTGATGATTCACCCATTAACAGTAATTCATAAATGCAGTAAAATTGTTTTACTTTATTTTCATCAGATATAGCAAGGGACTTGTTCAGTTTCAAATTAACAATAAACTCTCTTTAACAGAAATATCTGACCAAAAGGTGCTAGGAGGAGGTTTTGCTATAGCATGTAATTCTTATTTATGTATAGAATTTGGAGATACATGTACTGCCAGTACTGGTATGTTTTGGGTTGATGAACTCTCTGTTTTTAAACTAAAAAAGTAGGATGAAGATTAATTATTAGTTTTAAAAAGTTGATGGAAATAATTCTGAATTTACAGAATTTCTTCTAAATCAACTTGACAAACTCAGCATCAAAGGTATTGGATTTTTTCACCAGAACTTCAATTATAGAATGATTATCAATGATATTCATGCTAGATTGGTCTCTGAAAACAGTTAGTCAATGTAAATGTTAAAGCAAAGTAAATATAGTATCAAGTTTAACTGCACTAGTAGTATGGTCAACGATATAATGATAAAACTTTGATTAAATGAGGTTTTTTTACAGGGATGCAGTTCTATGCTCACAGAAGATTGTTCCAACATTCAGGAAAGCAAAAAGGACAAAACCAACAGAAAGGAAAACGTGAGTGTCAAGATCCATGATACCGTTTATGAGGCCAAAACAAAAATTATGTGTTTCAGGTAAAATGCCAGAAAAAAACGGGTCTGTAGGCAAATAATTTCTATTTTTAATTCTAATTTTCATTGATCAACATTTGGCTTGATATAAGATTTTGCGATATATTTCCATATACCGGTATCAAAATGGCTATTGTCAAGAATGGGTCAGGTGCCAAGAACAGGAAGAAAATACATTTAAATGGAGTAACAGTGAGCTTTGCTTGGATAATTAATTCATCTTGGATACAAGCAGGTGATAAAATGTTGTAGAGTCGACAGGAAAATCTAGGTTGGTATACCTAAAACATGCAATGTTTGCCTGAATTACAAATCTACTTGGTATCACTATATTGGATTCTGTTCTATACAAGTATATTAATAATGGACAATGATTTTATTGCTATGTCAAATAAAAGTTGGTATATTTCAGCTTCCCCTATTTCAGTATATTAAGTTTTCACTGGTTCTATTCAAACTAATTTTGACCCATGTTTTAAAAATAATCGAAGTTCAATACAAGCAGTATTTTATTGAAGGAATCAATCACAGTTTGACAGGTAAAGAGATACTTCTCTGATAAGTTGGTACTATCGTGTCATGTCACAAGTCGATTCTAATACCTATAAAAACTTTATTTGGTGTTCTGCTATAAAAACAAATGTTTTTCTTGTAGGTGCCAAGACAAAAACGATATTCCAAAGAAACGTTTAAAAACAACAGGGCGTTGTAGGAACAGATCTAACAGTGTAGTCACCACCACACACATCCAGGACCAGTCATCAGCATCTGACCATTCCAGTAAAGACGACCCCATCAACACTGGGCAGTCTAGCAGACAGGAAAGTGACCAATCAAGCACTGCACAGACTGTTGAAGCAGAAACAATTACCTCTAACATGGAGACTGTGACTGCTTATGACCGAGGAGTTCAGGAGGAACCAGTATCTGATTCACCAACAACTATTCAAGTCACAGAGCAGAAGCTAGAAAACAATCAAATTGAACATCTGACAAATAAAGATATATCACAAGTCCATGCAAACAAGGCTAAGAATTATAGTCTTTATGGAGTGGGCGATCGACAACTGTGCACTAAGTCTGGTGTTAGCACTGAGAAAATAAACAGCAATTCTGGTAAACAGCCAGAATGCAACAAGGAACCACTTAAAATATGTCGTGAAATCACTGACAAGACAGTTATTGAAGGAATTGCCCAAGAACAAGAACTGTGTGAAAATATTCCAAACAAGAAACCTGGAACCTGGAAAACAACTGAGCCTGATGTACAACTGATAGACGTGCTTAAATGCAAAGGTGTTCCGAATGAGGTGGGTATTGGTGGACATAGCAAGCTTATGAATAAAGAGGAAGCCATTGTTAAGGCTGGGGTGCCCACTCTTCAGCTTATCACTGCCACAGCCATGGATAAGTATCGGAGAAAACTTGGCTCATCTGGTATTCCAACACTGCATGTCATCAATACAGGGCCCAAAGAACAAGACAAGGCAAATACAATTTGTATTCCAACACCCCAGGGTGCTGACAAATCAACATCTTGTGATCTGAGGACAAAAGCATGCTCTGCAATGGACAAGCAAGATATTTCTACTACAGGTAAAATATCTTTAATACTGTATATGTATGTATTTTGATATGTAACTACTAACTACATGCTCTATCGTAGTTTTGCCATTTACCATTGTCTCAAATAACAATATCAGTTATAAGCCAATTTTTTTAATAATTCACTGTACAACAGAAACCCATATGGGCCAGAGTACGGTAGAGGCCGGTATGGAGACTAATATCACGTCCAACCTCACAACAGACAGAGAAACCAAAACTGATGTCTCATCCAACCTCACACTGGACAGGGGTACCGAGACTGATGTCACATCCAACCTCACACTGGACAGGGGTACCAAGACTGATGACACATCCGATCTCACACTGGACAGGGGTACTGAGACTGATGTCACATCCAACCTAACACTGGACAGGGGTACAGAGACTGATATCACATCCAACCTTACACTGGACAGGGGTACAGAGACTGATGTCACATCCAACCTTACACTGGACAGGGGTACAGAGATTGATGTCACATCCAGCCTCACACTGGACAGGGGTACCGAGACCGATGCTGCCTCAAACCTCATGTTGAAAACAGTTATCAAGACTGATGTCACCTCCAACCTCACATCTGGCAGTGCTACTGTAGAGGAGGATGTGGAGCCGGAGGAAATCTCAGACTCCCAGCTGTGTGCTATTACTGTAATGGACTGGACAGAGGAGCCCTTAGGACCTACTGGGTTTGTCAAATATTAATGTAAATGATCTAGTAGCATAGTAAAGGAATGGGGCATTACAGCAGGTTGGAATGGTGTCAGTCTATGTTTTGAAAAAGGAATGCCATGTTTGATATCTAATATGAAAATTCAGAGAGATTATAAAACTAACCAGCAGTCTGTTTCTTCACTAATCTTATATAGATATCATACATAAAAATAATTTCACTGAAAAAAATCTTAAGGGGTGATTAATTTCTTCTGGTGCAAGATTAACATGTTTGCATATTAAAATGTATTAGCATACATTTTTAATTTTCTGTTCAGGTAATTGAAATATCCTAAAATGATCATTGTTTAAGGGACACTGGACAAAGCCATCAATCTAAGACAAAAGTGCTAGCACCCTCCATACCAGATGGTACATCTATTGTCAAAGGCCTGATCAGGGAACTGTCCCAACTCAAGTATGTATACAGGGATTATAAGTATAATGTTGTGAACAGTAGTTAGCACAGAATGTTAGTAGATGTACAGTCTATATCAGATGTGAATTAAATGTACAGTGCATGTAATACCAGTTTATAAAATATTTAATGATAATGTCTTCAAAATCAACAAGTGTCCTTTTGAGGAGCAACACCCTCTGTTGATATGTGTCCTCTTGACTCAAGAATGATGAATATCAAATTTGGTTACAATCCTTTCATCTGCACAAAAAGAGAAGCATTTTCAAAATTTAAAACTCTTTTCCAATGTTAAGCCTGGGCCCTGCCCTTGTCCCGATGAAGACAATATCTTCTATTTACACAACTTGCAAGTCCACTTTGTCAGACAATGCTCCAGACCAAATTAAGTTAAAATCCACTTGGCCTATAGAAAAATGACATAGTGCCATGACAATGCTAAGTGAGCTGGTACAATCATTATCCTGCAGGTACAACCAGATTTTTTGTCTCTGATGTTGTAAACCTCGAGTATCTGGCCTCAAAATCAATGCCATTCTGTCAGATTTACCTCCCTTGCTCCACTAATTCATTTTGGTGATGGCATGTCTATAAGATTTACCTCCCTTGCTCCACTTTTGTTGATGTGATTCAAGTCTGTTCCAGTACCGTCTTTTGAATTTCAATCTTTTTCTAATATGAATCAAACTTCCCACAGAAAGTTTGAATGCCCACAACAGGTGAAAAAACGTTAACCTTTTCAAAAGAAATTCATACGAGTGCTCAAAATCACAAATTATTTCTGTTTTTCCATATATACATTGTACATATAAGGAAGATGTGGACTGTCAGCGAGAAATAACTGTATTGCTTGGCATTTTGGACATGGTATTATTATGAGCAATGCTGCATATAATTCTGCTCATCTTCAAACTTGCCTTCAGCATTGCCATTATGCAGGTTCATACAAAGTTTGACTGAACTCCATCAATATTAAGAGAACTTACTGTTTGTAATGCATCAGCAAATCAGAATGAAGGATGTTCATGTACTCATAATAATCAGAATCAATTCAGTTCACCTTCAAACTTGGTCCGAGTATTGTCATTATGGAAGCATACATCACTTTAACTGAGTTCTATAATTATTTAGGAAAGGTATTGTTTGGAAAAAAGTCTGAGTGAAAATTTGGATAAAACTAAAATGTAAAAAAAAAAAAAAAAATAATTTAAAAGAAAATGGTTCCAAAAACACTTTAAAATTGACTATTTGATGAAATAATGATTTTTTGAAGCTGAACAATGATGTAAAATTCCATTTTCAGCATGATGTTACTGAGAGCCAGGCGAGAGATGCAAACAGCCAATCAGAGAATGCCTCCGACTAGGACCAGCGATAACAGGGTCAACACCAGGACAGAAAAATGACGTTAAATATAATGCTGTATTTGATTACTTCTAATTAAAAAAAAAGTCAGAAATGTTTAAATTTGTTTGTTTAGTGATTTACCAGTTGATGTACCCATAACACCAGGTAATGTGTCACAAATGTTTTACCACATGTGCTAGCTTTGAAAATGCTTTCATACAAACATGTTGAAGCTATGAAATTGACACTTTATGTTATGGGTGCACAGTACAAATGAAAACAAAGACATTTTGAGGAATTTTATAGATTTATTGTGGGATTGATAATGTTTACATAAAATCACAGAGATGATGGGGAGTATTGTTGCATTGACTGTTAGCTCATCAGGTCAAAATCGTCTCTCTGCAAAATCAAACCATCACAAGATATAAATGATTATCATAAGCATTGAGTAACTTGACAATACTCTCTTAAAGGTATAAATAAACAAATTGTATGAAACACATCCTTTCTTGTATTTACATGAGAAAGTATCTGTACAAAAAACCTGTTAAAATCTGATATCTGCACTCAGTACACTGACACCTGTACTATTACCCAGTCCCATGTTGGAAATCTTATAGGGGAACCTTGCACATTACATTAAACTTTCTAATGTCATGTGTTATTTGCCACTATGAAAAGTGTTATTGTATGAGAGATGCGTAACTTTATGCAAAATACTATAAATTTATAATTCTTACATGCTGTCACTGAGGGAGGAATGCTCATTTAGGGTCGGGGATATTTTTGATAAGGGGAAAAAGGGGACATGCATGTACAATTTAAGAAGGATTCCTCTAGTACCTTCTGACAAATAAGGATAACAAAGTCGGGCCATTTTGTTTATACGACCAGTCTCGAAAGTTAATATGCACAACTTCAGACCAAGGGGAACCAACATACCAAATACCAGAAAGAAAACTCCAGTGCTTTCTGAGAAATAGAGATAACAAAACTTAACTGTCAAAATTCAAAAATTTCCGCCATCATTAAGAATTGTTTAAGGAGAGATGAAGGACAGACCATGGATGACAGGCGATTTGATTAGCCCTCCATCTGACATATACAGTCAGTGAACTGAAACCTGTCTAATCTGACATCCAGTACAAAACCCATCTATTCTGACATCTACATCCAGTACAAATCCTGTCTAATTTGACCTCTTTAAAACCCATATAATCTACCTCAATTCAATTCACAAAAAAACTGTCTAATCCATTAGTAAAAAAATCTGTCTATTATGACCCTTACAATCAGTACATCAACCCAATATAGTGTGATCTTTTATTAACTTACCATGTCATTGTAATCCAGTACATGTTTCCTTATGGCGGAGGTGTCCGTCCAGGTGATGAAATCCTCCATACTTCTGAGGATGGTTAAACCGGAGAAATGTACAACTTACTCATCAATATATAATGTGATTTACTTGTTCTATAATTTTGGACAAATAGCATAATCTTACTGATGTTTAAATTATGTTTTAAGAATGGTTAAATTATGTTTTACGAATTGTTAAGTCCTGAAGATAAAATCATTTTTTTCAGCACAAAGATATCTTGAATTCATAATTACAAAGTTGCTACCGAGTAGGAATAAAGATATCAAACAAAAAATATCTTACCTGTTAACGAGGAAGGCTGGATCTGATATTACCTGAGGTCCTACACGAACATCTAGTGACTTGTCAAGGTCAATGTAACCTCTAAAGGTGAATACATGATGTTGGGTAACAAAACATTAGCACTTTACACAACAATATTTAACTTCAGGTATGATGCAAGGACTGGTTTTCACATACAAGTCTATTTTACCTCTACCTTTAATTTAAAACTGATACCAGGTATGCTAATTTCTTCATGAGATACATCATTGCTGAAAAGGTAATTTCCTGTAATGAAGGAGAAAAGGCAAAACCAATCAATTTTCAAGGTGTCAAGATTACCAATCTTAGCTCCCCTACTTTAGGACAGAATTATTCACCTTCACTCCTATTTGGTCTGTTCAGGGTTTGTGTCCTTACAACAACTAGGTAAGGTCATATAAAGATGGATACCTATAGGATACCCTCAATATAAAACAGCAGGTAGGGAAAATAGTTTAAGAGAAAAAAATGGGAATCGGTAAGAAATCAAATGATTGGTAAGAATGTTGAAATTGAGCTTTATTTATTAACATGACATCCCGTTGAAAGATACCAATATATATAATTACATAAGGTTGGCTTCTAGTACACTGACAAAGAGTTACTTCCCTTTAGTCTCGGTACCAACTATGGAGGTTCTTTTTTTTTGTATGTGTGTAATACTTCTTTTTCTTTTTTCTTTTGTATAATGCATCCTTTCTTATTGTCAAACACTATGTCACCATAGACTGCAAATTTAGTATTATCAAAAAAAATAACAAAAAATAACAAAATAAACAGCAGGAAAAATAAACCTGTCCAATTTTATTTTTTGGCATTTACAGTGCTTATTGGTATTGGGTGTAGAGCTGAAGTATTATCCAACAATAGGTTCAATGACACATCAGTTGGCATTAAGGCACAAATGAATTATGCATATTAAAAGAACACCCTTGAAAAAAATCCCTCCTGATGAATAAATTAAATGACAGCCGACCTAATTTAACTAATTCAACATAAATATTAGCAGCACCTCCCTGTTGTACATGACCGACACCAACAGAAGTATTGGTGTCTGAAATAATGACATACCCAACATTCACTTCCCCTTGCGGCAAAGTCACACTTTGGTGGCATAAATATAAATTTATGACCACCAGCAGATTTTGTTTCATTCTTGCCCGCCCATTGTTGTGTTGGTGTGGCCAGTTTGTACAAAGGATACGTCCCTGCTCTATAAATGTAGTGGCTGCCTTGAGCGTCTCTGACATGTGGTTTTTAACCATCACCACCGGTAAACGTCGCCTACAAAACCAACACAATAATCATCTTCTTTTAGAACAGACCATACCAAAAACAGAATTGAGACCAAAGAAACTATATGAAAGAAATCTCATGTTGAAGCCCCTCTAAAAAGTTTGGAACTCAAAGGTTTATTTTGACATTGAAAGTCAATTGTAACAGTTAAAATGCAAATTCATTTCAAAGATTCAGCATCAAAATGTATCCTTCTGCTCTATTGGAATCATGGTATGTAAGAAATGTATTTAAGCATTCTGGACTAAATGAGTAGGTATCAAACTGTTCTGTACGCCATATTCTGGTGATGGCTCGTTGTAACAATAATAATATTTAATGACACTCGGACTACAGGCATGGTTTTACCTCGGCATTGTACTTAACTTCATTGTGTGAAGTGAAAAAAGAAAGAATAAAGTACCGAAGCAAGCGGTAATATACTAATATACATGAGTGAAGTTTGGAGCATTCAAGAACTGTATTTAAGATATAATAAGCTATGTAATTTCGTGGTCTATTGTATCGATAAGGCTTAAGAAACTTCAGCACAAATTTTTTATGCTTTAACAAGCTCATTGTATAAATTTCCCAACAAAGAATAACACACACAAGAATATTTGCCGCATTTAAAACTTTCCCTTTTTCCACCGACCGTAATCATGGCAAAATTTATCATAATAGAAAATATAAGTGCACAACATACCTTATATAATTATTACATCTGAAGGATGAAAGTAACACAGGGTGAATATGGATTTACCAGTGAAGGATGAATATACAGTATCCTCAAGACATTTCAAAATTTGGTCAACCCACACTCCTTTCTATAAATAGATAGACTGTAAGGTATCAAGTCCTAGCGGTGTATTTTCTCTTTCCTTTGCGTCAAAAAGAACCACTGATAGATAATTGGGGTATCTATGTGACGGTAACATCATAACAGATATCCCTATGGGTTTTGTGAAGAAATCTCGCTTATATTTGTCACTTACTAGTATCTCAAAAATCAATGATATCTGTCCCTAAGGACAAAAAGAAATCTACCAGAATGTTTTAGTCCCTTTGTAACATATGTAGTGAGTATCTTGTATCACAATCAGTATATTCATTTCAAAAATATTTTGAAAGTAATGTGTTCAGCAGAATATTCTTTAACAATTAGCCCAAGATTGATAACGAGTGTTGTTGAATGAAGAGAGTCACCTGCAGAAGCAGGAAGCTGTGACACTGTCTGCTAGCTCCAGGCTCCTCTTGCTGGGTATTAGTCGCATCATGTGTCTGCAACAACAAAATGTTTCATTATTACCTCACCACCACAAACACTCGATTGAAAATGATTGTAAAAAATAAGGATATGTTAATAATGATTGTACTGGAAAGCTTAAACAAGACATTGGTGATGTCCACTACAATCCATATCGGTGTAGTATGAAAGCACAAAACATTTATCGTAGTACCGGCAATAAGCCCCCTCTCGCAAATAAGCCCCCTCCCCACTTTGGTAAATGTCATTATGTACAGCCATGTCTGTTACCGATGTTCTTAATCAAATAGACCGTCACAACAGTTAAAACACTGCTTTCTTATTCTAGATATAACCCAATACTTTATACTTTGTCAAAGTAATATTCCCTTTCAAATAAGCTGTTTTATTACAGGAATACTACAACCATCAAAGATTACAGGTATGGGGTATTATGCTGATTTATGGAAATGATATTACAGTGATATATGCTGGTAAAAAAGTGGTGATGTGTTGCAGTGATTGTAGGGTTGAGAGGCCACCATTGCTGTTTTATAAACCTCCCTGGTAAGGCAGGACACCTTATCAGCCCAGTAATCAACCTGTTTATCTTACCAGGGCCACCCCATTATTGGACTCTTTGAACTGACTTTAAACTTATCTTTTTTGAAAATCTAATTCGGTATCATTCCAAATCCAATTCTGATGCATTTAACTGGCCTAGAAGGGAACGAGATGAATTGTTTGATATGCTGTTTATAGCTGTCTTAGCGGTATATATTTTTCAACTCATGCCCAGATAGTATGTTTACACTAAAGCATGTTACCATGACCATAGGGACGAAGATTTCACCTCATTTAGGCACTAAGTGGTAAAACAATTCCAAAGGATTCATCGTAGGGGGTCCATATTCCAAGGTTGCCTAAGCACTTGACCTAAACAACTTCAATTTTAAAAGACTTCTATTATTTGCCAGTTACATGTTAATTCATAGGTTATCAGCCCTTAATTTTCTGAAAGCACTAATTCCTGCAATAGCCAAATCTAAGTGCAGTACATTTTTGTGCTTGTAACTGGCACATTCTACTTTACTAAATATGCAATTTTACCGAATTAGAATGTTTTCGCTCACAAATATATATGCATGCTGGTTTGCTTGGGTATGTGTTTGACTGCTGGAAAAGCAGGACAAGACTGTGGAGTGTGCTGGTCTGACAGAACAGCAGGACATGTCTAGGGCATGTGTTGGTCTGCAAGAACAGCAGGACGCAACGGGAATGTGCTGGTTGGACAGAACAGCAGGACATGACTGGGAGTGTGCTGGTCAGACAAAACAGCAGGACATGGCTGGGGAGTGTGCAGGTCTAATACAACAGCAGGACTGTCTGGGGACTATGAAAGTCTGATACAACAGCAGGACTGTCTGGGGAGTGTGCTGGTCTGACAGAACAGCAGGACATGGCTGCTGCAGTGAAGTCCCCAGAAACATTCCCATGAAGATCAGTTTCAGTCCTTTCTTTCATCTCTGGAGGTTGGAGGTCACAGGAGATGCCAGGATTAGGAGCAAGTGATAGTCATCAGCCAGAGACCAAACAGGGACAGCCAAAAGACTTTCCCCCTCCCCATCTCTCTCAAAAAATGTTTATTAAAATGTCTGACTGGCTTATGGGACAGGCTCATGATGGAATTAGATTGAAGCCTGGCATATTTAAATGTAAACTACAGCGCACTGACTGTATACTTACATTTATATCAATGTGTGTCCAAGGTTTGACCCTGGATAAATACAGAACTCTAACATATTTACTTATATAAACAAAATGAAGTATACATTTCGGCTGCCAACCAATAGACAATAATAATTCTGTATAATTACACATATTTGTATTGTGGGTTTTATTTTAATTTGTATGCCTAACCACAACTTTTATAAAAGTAAAGAGGAAAAGTAAGCAAGCAAAACTATGTGCACAATTGTAGTAAACTGTGAAATCATAAACTAAATCATTACTGTTTAAAATACATTCGTTTTTCACTGATCCAGATTGATAACTTATTCTGGTGTGAGATATCCTCGTGTTAAATCATCCTCTAACTTTAAGAATTTGATGATCAATCAGATGTTTAAAACGTTGACTTTTGCCAAGTATTGTATCTAAAGAACAACTGGCATGAATATTGTGTTAATTGTGTTATTGTTTAACGCGTGATGTCCGAGCAATCTTTGACATTTATCCACGCTGACTGGTAGATAATATATACAACAGACTGTGTCTAAGTATAACAATGGCAGTCGGTATGGTCCAAAGTCAGACTGGTTGGAAAGAGGGGTTGGATTTACAATGAGTAACAAATAAGTTTAACATTAGGACAGAACCTTTGGGACTGAATAGTTTCAACAAACAGACAAAACTTTATTTGTGACTTGCTTAACAGTGAAAAAAGGACCATAGACTGTGATGTGATTGATTAAAAAATAAGGCAGGATCTCAGGACAGAATGACTGGTATGACATCGAGGCAGGACCTTGAACAAGATTGACATGTTTGACAGTAAGACAAAACAATGGTCAAAACTGACTCATTTGACAGTAAAACAGGACCCCCAGCAGACTGCAAGTGATTTTGACTGTGAAAGAGCACCTCAGGTTCTCGAGTGGTTTGATAGTGAGGCAGGACCTTTGAACAGACTTATTTGACCTTTACACAGGAGCTTGTGCCAGACTATAAAACATTTGACAGTTACACAGAAGCTTGTGCCAGATTATGAAACATTTGACAGTTAAACAGGAGCTTGTGCCAGACTATAAAACATTTGACAGTTACACAGGAGCTTGTGCCAGACTATAAAACATTTGACAGTTACACAGGAGCTTGTGCCAGACTATAAAACATTTGACAGTTACACAGGAGCTTGTGCCAGACTATAAAACATTTGACAATTACACAGGAGCTTGTGCCAGACTAATAAAACATTTGACCAATACACCGGAGCTTGTGCCAGACTATAAAACATTTGACCAATACACCGGAGCTTGTGCCAGACTATAAAACATTTGACCCAATACACCGGAGCTTGTGCCAGACTATAAAACATTTGACAGTTACACAGGAGCTTGTGCCAGACTATAAAACATTTGATCGTTCCTTTGGGAGGATGACTTATTTGACAATGAGACCCTAAGACTAGGAGAACTTGGGACCTGGAGACTTGATGTGGAATAATCTATATTTATTAGTAATGGTGACTATATACTGAATGGTAAAATGTTGATATGTTTATCAAGTAATAAAGTAAAATTACCTGATTTACAAAGTTAAAACAATATAAGAGTTTTCATGATTACTCCTACAGTAAGGAATAGGCCAAGAGATAACAAACTTGACCCCTGAACCTTTAATTATGTCAGCTTTAGTGTGCATTTCATTAACTTTTCTCCGTTGTAATACAAATCCACTGAGTGTATAAACTGGGTTGCGATACAAAAGACAAAATGTCAAATGATAATGAATTAAAGCCTGCCAAATCAGTCGGGCTGAATTGTACAGGGTCAAAGACTATGTCATCGTAACGTGTAATTAGCCTGCCGGTCATGTACAATTAAAGCGCTGCTTTACGCATTAAAGTACAGGTACACGGACATGTTTGCTATGAAACTCACTCCTGTATAGCTTAGCTGCCAAGGTATTGTTTTAAGTTTTATTATCTACCCAACAGTGGATTGTATAGCCTTAGATGTTTTTTCTGGCGTCCACGGAATTTCCACTTTAACACCAAGGTAATCAATCTGTTCTGCTATTGAAACAGTAACCCCTGGGTCCCAACTCGCCCCTCGACTGCCACCCAATATCAGTGTATTGGTTTGTTTGGGCATAAAAGTGATCGCTGGAGCATGTTGATGGTCATGTGTGATTGGCTCGGTAGACAACTGAAGTACGATGTTGGCACAAGTAGTATTGTAACATTAAATGGCACATGTGTGCTAATGTACGGCTTCAGCACATCACAATCAGGACACCGAGACACAAATTATTTAAATTCCTGTGTATAGCTTTTCCTGGTTTATTATTCAGACTTAATAAAATATCATAGGAAAGTTTCCCTTTAATGAAAATCTTGTTTTCTTTGATAAATAATTTCTTATTAGGGAATAAACAATACACCTATTTAACCATGTGTTATAGATGAGATGGCTATTAAGGAGCAGACCTGATTAATCTCTGAAATGCTGCAGTGCATGAGTTGAATCATTTTGTCATTAATAGATGGTTTCTCTAAGCATTCAACAGAAGGAAACGGCAAACTTTCTACGAATACTTCCCCAAGTACTGACAAGGGAAGTAATTCCTGTCAAAAAAATGCTACTTATGTAAATTACCAGGGTACAGTTTTTTGGAAGATAAAAACCTTATCAAAATAACAAAAACAGACAGCAAGACTCAAATCAGTTCATGCAGTTTAGTCTGTTTTGATAGAAAATACATCCTGTTGGGATAGCTATTTTGTAGTAACATTCACAACCCAAATTCTAAAAGTATCATCATACTTTTTGTTGCAATTTACAAAAGTGGTTCTCAAAATCTAAATATAACTTTGTATGAAGAAGTTTTATGATAGATTAGTCTTCATAACACCTGATGTTGATTTGACTGATGTAGAATGTGATGTTTTATTTTTATTTTTAGCTTGCTGACAGTTAACAATGAGATATTACTTTATTTTTTCAACAAAAGTAAAAAGGGATTAAAAAATGGATGTACTTACCCTAGTTCGAAATTATTTAAACATTGACATCAATTTTTTTTGCACAATGAGTTAATTACAGTGGGTAGAGTGTACAACAAATCAGATGATTTAAGATATGTATGTACCGTAACTTACTATTTATCACCAATAAATCAGAAAACAAGAGATCCTAGAAGGATTTTGGCACTTACCATGAAGGGATTTTTTCCAGATCTACAAAAGAGCATTTGTATCTTCTATGCACTTGATTTTCCTTACAGGTACTTTATTACTCAGTCCCATGTTGGA